TATGTCATGAACCACTGGACACAGTTTATGAAAACTCTCAGAAAGTACTCATTCGATGTACATCGGCAACTGATTAACTTTAGGAGTCAACATATTCAAAGTGGCGGCCAACTGACCTTAAAAATAAATTAATTAAATGGTTGTGGTGGCTCAGTCTATTTTACAGATATTGACCCATCATTTGGTGTGGTAGTAGTTGAGACTGATCCCCAACACACACTCGAAACGCTAACAGATTGTGCAGGATGTTTTAAATGTAGCCAATTATTATTTGGTGTCTACTCTGTCTGTAATGAAAACCTATTGAGAAACCGAAGGAAACTTGAGTATTGCAGAGAAGCAGATGTTTGGTTGATTTAACCATCAAACATCTCACTTCTCCAGACATACGTTGGACTTAAAACAGGTCAACAGTTCCCTGACTTGAAGGAATGCATATCACCCGCCACCTTTCACATCAGAGCTTAAATTATAACGATTTTATGTTAAGAAATGACAATGTTGTAGCTGTTATGGTCAAACTTTTTTTTTTCATTCAACCTTTATTTATACAGGTTAATCCCATTGAGCCTCGGGGACTCGTTTACAAGAGAGACCTGATTTCTGTAACAAAGAGTGATGACAACAGTGGATAACAATGACAACAATAGACAGTCATAAAAGAGGCATACAAATTATTATTATTATGTTTTTTTAGAAATTAAAATAAAATGGCAACCTAAAGTACAATCAAAAGTAAGCAGTAGCAAAAAAAAAGAAAGAATGCTGATAGTATGTGTTGGAGATGACCCTCAGCTACTACCACATCCATTTATTACCTCAATACTTGTAAAAGTGTCTGAATTATACATTTTTTGAGTTGGATAATGTTAGTTGTGGCGACCATCTTGAATTGGATCGAGTTATCGATGTAGATCAGGTGGTTAATTTCTGAACGTTTCATTAAAATCCATCCAGCTAGTCATTTAGCTAACAGACGAACAGGCTTGACAAAAAGTTTTCAAGGATTCACGGTTCTTTATTTGTCGTTCACACCACATGTGCTACATGTGGTGTGAACGACATTGTGTACACATGTTCCCAGTTACATCCAACAAAAGTATAAATTGTAAAAGAAAAACAGTAATAAGATCTAAGATATGAACTAAGAAAAACGTTAACTAAAAATACACTAAGCACTAGTAGCATAAAAACAATACGCCGAACAGCAGCACGAACATGAGTCTGTGTGAGCAGATGAGCACGCACGAGCACAGCAACATGAAACAGATCAGCAGCAACATGTAACAGATCAGCAGCAACATGAAACAGATCAGCAGCAACATGATGTGATTTTTCACAGTGATTATCCTGATTAGAGATTCATGAGTCTAACAGCCTCAGGGCAGGCTGCTTAGCTGTGGCAGCCATCTTGAATGTGGCAGCTGCTTCACTAGTGAATGTTAAATGTGCATCCAGTTATTTCCTATTACAATACAGGTTTATGAAATATTTTTTAACAGATGAGAAGTTGCATTTTGACATCATCATCCTCATCTTCTACTTCAGACACAATATATGATCCATAAAAAAAAAAACAAGAACACAGAGTTAAAAAGCTTTTCTACAGAAACTCAAATGCCATTGAGTCCATAAAGTAGAAAAGTATCGCTCAGAGCTTAGTCCAGGTTTGGGCAGTGTAGCGATGATACAGTTTTCAGATTAAGACAATCTACACATGCATCTATACGTAAGGTTATGCAGGACAGGTAGGCACACCTGCTTCTACAAACATTTTGCTCGTACTGCTCCATCGAGGTACCCTCAGCAGCATCCGCATGCCATCATTATATGCCACATTTTTTCTACATACTGCTCCTTTTATTACGTCTCCACAGGTGAGCAGTATAGGAGTGCAGTGGGCCTTAAAGAGTTGATCTTAACTTATGTTGAGCACATTCCAAACCAGCATACGACATTGTCTGTAAATGTCTCTGTCACCTGACAGGTCTGCAGACACATAGTGCCCCACGTACTTACATTCATCACTGACATTCAGCCTATTGCCCGACAGAAGGAAATCAGGGAACATCAACTCAAAGTCGTCTCTGCTCCGTACAGTCATGATGCTGCTTTTCTTGGAATTATATTTTACATCAGTAGTGCCTTTAAAAAAAAAATCCTTTAAAAAGCATCAATTAATTTCATGACTGAAAAAAGTACCAAATAAACAAACAAAAAATAAAACAAAGTACAGAACATAAAAGGTGCTGTGTTATTTCAAGCTTTAACAGTCAATATTTACCATATTTATATTGTTATGAATATGTAGGTGAAGTTTTGGGTGTTATCATTGATGAAAAGCTGACATGGAAACATCACATAAATGATGTAAGAATAAAAACAACTAAATCTATTGCAGTACTGTACAAAGTAAGGGACTTATTGAATGATAAAGCTGTATATGTTGTATAACGCAATAATTGTTCCACACTTAATCTATTGTATTGATGTTTGGGGGAAAGCGTGCAAAACTATTATAAATCCAATTTTTGTTTTACAGAAACGAGCTGTAAGAATTATTACTAGAAAGCATTTCGGTCACCCATCAAGAATTTTATCAACTGAAGTTATTGAAGTTTCATGATTTGATAGATTATAGTATTTTATCAAATATGTATAGCGCTCATAATAACACATTACCTTTAAATATCCAATTAAATTTTGATAAAAGAAAGAGTTATAATCTTAAGGGGATAGAGATATTTTTGAAATCTAAATTTAGAATTAGTTTAAAGGAATGGTCTACTTCAATCCAAGGAATTAGATTATGGTATATAAGAATGATGTTAAAAATGCCAGATTAATTTAAGAGAATGATAAAAGTTGGTTTGTTAAAAACATATGAAATAGCTTAATGTGTATTTGTATAAATTGTTTGAAGAAATTTTTGTTTGAATTATTTTTTTTGGAAAAAAGGGTATATAACTTTTTTTTCCTTCTTTCTGCTGCCTTTCATTTTATTTGTGATTGTATTTCTTATTGTATATAGCATTGCTTTGTTTTGTTTTAAAAAAATGAATAAACTACAAACTTAATCTAATGCACTGAAGAGACTATAAGATCAGGACAGCACAGAATCAGTTAAAAGTTGTGGTGCTACTTGGCTGCTAGCTAGGTAAGACGATATATCTTCATCCTTTACATAAATACACACAAAATACTAATGCATATTGGTAACAGCATACATATGTTTACATTTTATACAGTTTGATTGTTCCATTTGTAAAATTGTGTTGAACAAGCGGGATTTTAACTTTAACATTTTTGGGAAATGGACAGGAAGGTTAGCATTTAGCCTGAGCTAGCAAGACGTTAGCATTTAGCCTGAGC